GCCACATTTTCACGACCTGATTTTGCAGATGCAGGCTTTGAGCCATTTTCTTTGTAATAAATTTCAAATTATTGAGTTTATTATTTAATTTATATATCAAACCTTTCAAGCCGCAGCAACTTTAACCTAAATTTAGCAATTATATAATATAGTTAATGTACCTCCAAAGTTAAAAAAAATGGTTTTAAAAGTTAATAAACATTCACCATTAACTCCAAATCAATGGTCCATTTTTAAAATTTAGGAAAAATTCTTCTGTTTATTAAAGATTAAAGAAATTGTGTTATATAGAGAGGAACAAGTTTTAGAAATCTGGTCATGAAAATGTTTTATCAAATCTTCTTCCCGTGAAACCCGCTAATCTTTCCTCAATTTCCAGGGCAACTCGGTGGACTACGACCCGTGGTCGTTCAAGAAGTCCGTGCTGAACACCATCTTCCAGGCGGTCAAGGCCATCACCGGCGGGGTGACCGCACTCAAGGGTCAGCTGATCAAGGGCAGCGGCTACGCGTTGAGTGCGGGCGGCAATCTTGTGGCCGCCGGCGGAGACAAGGTCACCGATGTGGGCAAGTCGATCATCAACTCGGCGCACATTAACTCGCACACCTACGCCACTAGTCACTCCTCCGGCGGCGGCGGCGGTCTCTTCGCCAAGCTGACCTCCTTGTCGGGCGCCTCCTCGGGCGGCAGCAGCGGTCACAAGACCGTCTCCGCACCAGGACCCGTCCTGCATCACGAGAGTAAGTACACGCAGAGAAAATATACAGTACTCAGTAATTAAATCGAAGATAATTGGGCAATTACAAAATATTAAAATTAGGGAGAAGTTACAAAAGTTGATGCGATGATAAGCATCTCTTAATCCATAAAATACTAATATTATGCAAATTTAAAAAAACCCATTAAAAAATCTAGATCAAGTTTAACTAATGCAGTTGCTCTGAGTCAAAATTTAGCGATACATATCTAATTTCTCTTCCAAAAGAAATGTTTGCGATTTTAAATAAATCAAGCCGTTTAATTTTGTACAGATTTTGGACGCATATTTACAAACTCCTCCTAGTGCAACGGCCATTCATTTCCAATGAAATTGGACTAGGTCGCGAAACAATTATTTTTATCACAATTCATATATTGACCATTGTCCAGTGGGCCGTGAAATCAAAACATATTGTCTTTCGCTTACGTAATTCAGTTGCTGAACTAGATGCATGACAATTAAGCCGCCTAATAACCAACACAGCCGCACCTGGCCAAAACGGAAGAGGCAACTCCCGGCTACCAGCTCCGATTTGGCTGCAGATCCAATGGCCAAATCGGAGCATGGAGCGTGCAATGAACCTGGCCGGCAACTTTCGTTTTCGCCAGCAACCCGTTTCCGTCGGCTTCTCTGCGTCTGCGTTCCATTTTGGCTACAATGTCTCCGCATTTGTCTCGTTGCAGCCATCACCACGTACGAGATACCCACGGGCCACGCCAGCTACGGTCCCCCCTCGAAGCCGCCCTCGTACAGCAGCGCCACCCACCAGTACCTTCCGCCGGTGGGCGGGGCCAGCTACAGCGGCGGAGCGCCCTTCAGCGTCAGCCACCCGGCGGCCTTCGAGTCGCCGCCCAGCAATTACCTGCCATCGGCCTATGGACAAGATGGTGCGTAGATGGTTACCGGGTCTGGTATAGAACTTTTGGGCTCTGGTTTTATGTAAATAATCTCCACTGTACATACTCTGCTTTACTTTACTAACAAAGGTTTATTCAAAAATATTAGTAAATGTGTAATATATTGTACAGATAAATGTGTAAATATTATACGATAATCCTTAAAATTATTGGAGTCTCCACCTTCTATTTAAATAAGTATTTCAATTATAAATATTTAATTTAATTATAATTTTTAACTCAATTTTAAATATTAGGAACATATTTTCTGGCCTATTATTTTCTTATTTCTATAATAATTAAATTACCCACATAAAAATCTAAAAATCAGGATATAAGCAAACAAAAATGTATCTGTTTTTGATTTCACATATATTTTTGTTTAAAAAATAATTACTCTCCCTTTTTTCACACATAAAATCAATCTACGTCAGTGAATATTTCAAATGTAAATATGTTATTTAAAAACCTCCACAAGAGCATCCTCAAGATGACAATGACAGGCGTTGGCTTGTCTCATCAGCTTGCAGTCGCTAATCACTCAGCTTTATTTGCATACCCAACTGTCCCAACCCTCCCCCTTACCATCCACCGCCCTTTTTTTTGCGGCCCTCATCTTATTTCCGCACGTAGAAAACAACGAGAAGAAAGTGAAAGCCTCCATCATCAGTTGCTCATAATTCCATGAAGACGAGGCACAAATCCCAGAGAGACATTGTAAATACTGTCAATATCAACACTACCAGTCGAAATCTCTCCATGTCTGAATATTATATCGTATGGGTTGGGGCTCCATTGGAACTTGTTCCATTGACACATTTCCTAGACTAAGTTTATTCGATTTTTTAACACATTGCGCAAGCGACCATTAATCGATTCATTGTACATAAAGGCATCTGAACATGTTTTAATAAATTATCACGTCATACATATTGTATATCCGTTAACAACGAATAGTGCTTAAGTGAATTGTACAGAGATATTAATGGAGCCATTTGCAGTGGCCACATGTCGCATACTTGATAAAAGTGCGCATACGTATTTAGTCAGTGGCCCATTAAAGAGTCTAGCGAAAGGCCTTCAATGAAACGACTCTCTTCATTCAGCTAACCAAAACTAAAACCGGAATTCATCTGTGATCATCATGAAAATCATCCTGAAGGCAGCCAAAAAATGTACAAAATGTGTAAAGTAAACCAAATCATTTTGTATAAAATATAAGCTAAACTTATCTAACACAAAAAGCACACTAAGCAGAGAAAAATATATTCCTGACACAATTATATATTCTTATTATATAATATTAAAAACTAAGCAATACATTTTTCTCTGTGCAACCACAACACTCTTACATAAACAGACAAAACCAAGTGTAAATACCCAAACATAAAAACGCAAATATTTAATTTGGTAAATCTAATGAAAGCTCACTCATTGCATACACACCTCGACAACAACAACTGCAACCACTACATCACAACAAACAACCACATACACCCAACCACCCACTCAAAAAACAACAACCACAACAAACGGCAGCGACCAGTGCAAATAGCAATGACTTTAACATCTACGGACGCCACACCAAACTGTCGGATGAGGAAGCTCGAAAGGCGGCTCTGCAGCTTCAGGAGATCCTCAGCTTGCTGCCCAATGGAAAAACCGAGTATACTGCCTCGAAAACGGTGGCTTTGGATACGAATTTACCCACGGGAACGGGTTTGGAGCAGGCGGAGGTTTATAATAGCTATGGGATACCACTACCCAATAATCTGGGCACCTTGGAGTCCCTTTCGCACACGGAATCCATAACTGCTGCTTACAATCCGGCTTCAAAGAATCCAGCGGATGTCTACCACCAAATGGCCAAGCGACCATCCGCCGAGGAACTCTACATTCAAAAGCATCCCAATGAGGGCTACGACTATCCACCACCGAGTGCAGCTGCACCACCGCCGCCGGCTGCTGGGGATTACCGGGTGGAGAACTACCATGCCAGCAAGAGTAACGCTCTCAAGGATCTGACGCCCATTATAGCCGCCTTGGAGGTGGCCAAACGGAAGGGTAACAGTCATGGCAGTGGACCTGTGTACTCCATCGAGAAGCAGGTGCACAAGCAGTCGCCGCACTTCCAATATCTACCACCAGTGGTGCAAAAGTCCAAGTATATTTACTCTGCACCACCGACATCGCACCACCAAGGTCACAGCGGTGGTTACAAGGTGCGCCGCCAGGTGGCGCCGGGCGGCAAGAAACGCATATTCCGGCCGCAGGACTACGAGATACAGGATCCACTGATGTTCAACCGCCTGCTGGAGGTGTAAAACGGGAGAGATCGCCTGTGGTCCTTAGCTTATAGTCCTCTAAGTCATGTCCAGCATTTTTAACTATAACTTATTTATGTTATCTCGTTATCGCAATCGTTAATCGTAATTAATTATTATTTATTGAGCTTCCCAGACAAAAAGGTTGGCAATAAAGCGAGCCCCTGAAATTGCATCCAAATATTAAAGCACAGCATGCTAAAAGAAAGTTTCCCAGCACCACCATCCTTATCAACCACTATATCTTCTCGCACAACCCACTTTCCTGCGATGTTTGCACCACTCTAAATAGAATCGGGAACCCTTTTCTCACCTCTCACCGATCTCTTTGCAGTCTACCATCAGTAGAGGACGATGAAGAAGCTGTGGACCACGCCCACTGTTCGTTTACAGCACTGTCCATCTCCACGTATCCTAGAGTTAGTCAAACCGTTCCTGCCTATTCCGAATCTATCTGCTGTCACTCCCTCTCATTCTTTACTTACATTTCCGATCCGATGAACTGCAGTTTGCATTGATTGAACTTCCCCATCTTAAGTTTAAGTATTTAAATTAAATAAATCGTTGAATACAAACTGCCTGTTTTTACTGAATAGGTGGGATGGGATTAAACAAAACTTAAGCCTATAAGTATGCTTTACAAAGTCGTAAAACTCATGTAAAGTTAATGTAAAACAAGTAGTAAAATATTGCAGCCTTACAATAACAAAATAATAATAATTTAAATAATTTAAGTAATAATTAAAAAAATATTACAGTTTAAACAGTTCCAGAATACCAAACAACCTTTAAAAGTTAATGTAAAACAAGTAGTAAAATATTGCAGCATTACGAACATTTTTGTTTTAATTTTCCAAAATACTAAGCAACTTTCAAAAGTAAAATTAAGTATTAGTTAATTTTTAAACTCTTTTAACGAACTCTTTAAATTTGTTTAAGCCGGAAAGTAGACCATAAAATATCTCTATCGAATCGCCAAGTTTACTCAAGCCCCTTGGTTAAATATCTAAAATATATATGGTAATAAAATCTCTTTACAAACTCTTTTAATTTATTAATAGGGAATTTTTATTATCGCTTAGAAAATCTCAGGGACAGGGCACACCTGTGCGTTTAGGACCTAAAGCAAGGAATCTCAGGGTTAATCAGGAGGATGGGGACTGCTGGGCGAACCACCTCTTCACCACCATCTTAGTAGTAGCCGAAGGTGATGTCGTGCAGTGGCTGGGCATTTCCCTGGGGCAAGGCGTAGTCCCGTGCCAACTGATCCAGCAATCCGGAGCCGCCACCACCACCGCTGCGGGACTGTGGCTGCGGCTGTGGCTGGTAGCTCGGCTGCTGCTGTTGGACAGGACGAGCGAGGGGCTGCTGGGCGTGGGACTGACCGAAGCCCACGGGTTCCAGCAGCGGACGTCCTCCGGAGGCGGGAGCCAGGAATCCCTGAGCCCGGGCGCTGCTGGGAGCTGGTGAGGCGGGGGGCAGGGCGTAAACGGGCCGGGAAATCCGCACATTCGAGGGTCCTTCGCCGAAGCTCTGGGACTGCGAGTAATCCGGTTCAGGACGAGCGGGACGCTGCAGTGGTGAATAGAGCACATCGGTGGTGCGCTGGGCGCCGGGAATCTGAAGTCTTGGCGGTGCCGGACCCACCGAAGCCTGCTGGTGGTGCTGCTGCGGCTGCGGCAGCGGCTGATGCTGTGGCTGCGGCTGGGGAGGTGGTGCATACTGCACCCGACGTTGTGGCTCCTCCTCCTCCTCGTACTGCACATATTGCGGCTGTGGCTGCGGCTGGGGCTGCGGGCGTGGCTGTGGGCGTGGCTGGGGACGCTGAATGCGCTAAGAAAATGTTAGTTATATCTAAACCTCTAATTGACTAAAGTTTCACTCCCAACTTACATAGGGTTTCTGAGGACGCTGCGGCACTGGCTCATCTGCGTAGTCCGGTTCCTCCTTGGCCGTCTCATCGACCAGTGTGGGTGGTGCCACTGTGATGCCCTCGCCGGAAGGTTGGAAACCGTACTTGTTGGCTCCGTACTCCACCACTCTCACCTTTCCGGTTTCGTCCACATAGCCGTACTTGCCCTTCACTTCGCCGGTGGCCAACTTGGTCTCGATTTTGAAGGAGCCGTCGGCACCCTCATAGCCATAAGTGTAGGAGCCATCTTCATTGTGCCTGAGAAAAAGATAGAAAAGTGGTAATATGATATATAAGTATTTTTGCAGATTATGAGGTATAAAAAATCATATTATTTAGTTTCTTAAAAAATAAATTTAAGAAAATATTCAACTTAATAAATAAACACTGGTACCCACTTATTGATCTGCTTGAGGATGGCCACTGGATCGGCCCGAGGAGCTTCGGCGCGGGCAGGAGCGGCATTTGCTCGCAGACGAATGGGAGCAGTCCTTGGTGTGTTCTCCTGGTAATCCTGATAGTCCTGTGACCTCACCATACTCACACCCACTATGAGGCAGCCGACAATTAACACGCGTTGCATCTGTAATGTAAACCGAAACCGTTTTAAAATTAATTATATTTGTAGAAACAGTAGGTAAATGTGAATAAATCTGCCTAGTGAAATGGCAACCGGTTAGCTAATTGCAGCCTGTCTACCAAAAAGGTTGCGATTTCCACCTCTGCCGCCTCTCTGGCCAACGGAACACCTTGACAGTGCATCGGTGGCTGAGTGCTGCCAAGAATGCCAGACGGCGACGATGTCTACAAAAGTCTTAAGTCAGGCTGCCTTTCACTTTTCCGCCGGCCAATGACACCCTCAATGCCAAGCAGGAACCGATAGCCCGGATTCAGTTACACACACTCAAAAAAAAACATTATACTAATAAATATATGGAACAATATAATCTTTAAAGACTAAAATAGTTTTGCAAATATTTTAAAGAAATAATAAATAAAAGCAAATCGAATTTATCACTAAGCTAAGAACTTCTTAAGAACTAAATGTTATTTAACAGTTAAGAGAAATTAATTTAAGTCATTGTCGCTTTTGGAAAGAAGTGAAAGGAAAGGAGTAAATGGCCCTATATTTCAGTGAAAATTATACTGGTTCAAATCTACATTAAACAAAGTTAACTTTCACTCAATAAAAAAAATCATTCAGATCTAACATATGGAATACGTTACAAATTTTCTAATTAATTTATATAAACCATTCAAAATTAAAGGGTATGTGTTTTTTTCCCAAGTGCAGCATCCGCAGTGCAGTTGCATAAAGGCCGAGCCCAGCTGTAAACCCAATCCCAGTGACACGCGATATGGCAGCTCAGCTGGATGGGCCTGGATGCGATTAATTGAATGCCCAGCAGACCCGTGGTGATGGCGTGGAGAAATGCTGCCGGGAACAAAAAGATGCAGCAGGGGTAATGCCAATTATCGTTGGCCAGCCCCGTTGGACTCCCACACAGCGCACACATCGCAGCTGCAATTGGGTAATCCGGCAGCAAATTCGGGGGAGAAAAAAAACCCAAAAGAGGCAGGCACACAAACAAATTATGTATGGGAAGCTGGGAAAAAGTTCCCACACTTGCCGAAATGTGTTGCAAGTATGCGACTGCAACTGCAACTGCGGCAGCGATCAGATGCATTCGCGGCATGCAAATGCCAAAGAAATTTGCGGGAAATTACTGAATCAAAGGGGGAAGCAGAGGTGACTTTTATAACTTAGGCATGGGACTATCCATGTTTGTGTAGGAATACAAATTTCGTTATTTCCCTTAATATTTGCATAAATTTTTATTAATTATAATATTAATTATTTATAATAAACCCATTATACCAGTTTCTAAAATGTCCATTAAACCTAAACCTGGCTAAGGTTTAAAAAGTCGTGACAACTAGAAGCTCAATATTTTGATGAATTTAAATATTGCATAACAATATATATGCTTTAAAATACTTTTTGAAATAAATAGTATATTTAAAGTATAATGTTTAAATAAATATATAATTTAGGGACGAGTTATTTCAGTATTTTAAGAAATATTTTTTCGGTAAGATTACTCAATTTGCATCATATTGAGGAGGTGTGGAAGTTCAGCCTTTCTACCAAAAAATGTTTTCCCTCGAAAATCCCTTTCGAATAAGAATTTTAAGTATCGTTCCTCTGTAAAAAAAAAAGCTGACTAGTTTCATTGTTTTGTGGAGGGAGGTATCAGCCAGCCTGACAACAAAGCAAACAAGCTGCGATTTCGATGGCCAGAATCGGAATCTGATTTATTTGGCTCTTACTCCTTTTTGGCATTTCGAACTATGGCTTTTTCTGGCCATTCCGTTTCGACCATTCCGCATGCCGAAACCTTTCACTATCTAGGCTCCAATGTGCCGCAGCCTTGGCGGTGGACAGGTGGACGGACAGGTAGTTAGATACAGGTACAGATACAGATACAGGTACGTATCTATATCTCTATACCTATAGCCAAAGCGATACATCCAGGCCACGACATGCTCGGGGGACCCAGTGGCACCGAAAACCAGCCAGAAAACTGACCAAAAAGCTGACTGCCGCGTGTGAACTGACCCAAAAGTTTGCCTTTGATATTTGAAGCGAGCTTGTTAGTGCAACGAGTGCTGATTGAAGTTCCTGCAACTACACTTTTTTCTTTATATTTTTCTCAAGAAGCTGCGTCGTTCATAAATTATGTCAAAATCCAGTTACCAAATTGGGTGCCAAGTGGAGTGGATAATGGTATTGGTGGACTGGATCGCTGGATCGGGGGAAAATGTCGCTTGTAGCCAACAAAGCTGAACAATTGCCATCGGGGCTGGGAGCAAATTAACGGTTCGCTCAATTTGCATAGCAAATTATGCGATATTTGCACAACATTCGCCGCAATGGGCGATGACGTAAGCTTTACAGATCACTGGTACCTCCCCTCCATAGATCATGGGATCCTGAAGTAATATAGTACACCCCCATTTGGCAGCCACGCATTTAGATTGTCGAACGACCTTTGGTATTTACCAAGCAACCCAACCAAATCAACCAACCACCCACCGAACGCCCACTCACATACCGCTTTCATGTTGTTGAATTTGAATTGTATCCGCTGATTGGCTTTTGTGGGGCCAGCTATTTCGAATCGATTAAACCCTGAATGCAATCGCAAAAGGCCTTCGCTGGCAACACCCAGCTGAATATCGAGAGTGTCGACAACAAAGACAACTGAGCACTTTCAATTTCAATTCCAATTCCAAATCGAAATCCCCTAATGAACCGGGTTGACTATCTCGGGCAAATCGGCCAAATCTTCGGACTTCGAGTTCGTTGAGGAGATCGCGTGGAGTATTATTAACTTGGGACCGACGGCAACTGAGCCGCCCAGGTTGTTGTATTTCGCTTTATATACCGATCGCGGAAAACCTTTTTACCTCTCCCATATAACGGACCAAAGACCCCACATTCCCCCATCCCGCAGCACCACTGAACCACCGAGCCACTGAACAACACCAACGAGCCGCAGCACCACAAAACTTCACCAACGAAAGGACGGAGAGCAAGCGTTTCTCTGGAGAAAAATATATCGAGAGATATTGAGATATAGAGAGAGAGGCTGCAGAGCTTGACCGAGCTTGAGACACAGACTTCACGGGAGTTCTCTCTGTGCTTTGGGGAGCTTTTCTTTGCCATAACCACAGGAATATCAAAGAATGGCTATATAAAAAGAAAATTAATATAATTGTAAGCTATTAATCAATAAATGTCTCTGAAACCCAAATATAATCTACAAGTTATAAATAAAGGGTTAAAAAGTAATATATTTATATATATTCTATATTTTTAATGATTTATTTATTTATTTATTTCGGTATGGGAAGGTCCCCAAAATCTATTAAATGCATAGAGAAAATTTTATTACAACCACTAAAAGAAATCTCTGTTTAAAGTTTTCCATAAAATATATACCAAACAATTTAAATGTTCCTTTCAAAAGCTTAAACTCCACTCAACTGCTTCCGAAAAAATTCCGTTTCGGTTGCCTCAGCAATTTCGAGTATTTCTCTGACCCAACAGCAATACGAATTAAATCACCCACTTGTTATCATTAAAAGCCAGGCAACAATTTAATAATAAATTTAACAAATTACTTTCGAATTCGGTTCGGTACTCTTACTCTAACCCCGACCTTCCATACACCATGGCAACTATTACAGACCCCCAGACCCATTGGGATGTGGCCATCCACATCAACGGACAATTAATCAAAACTGTGAAGCCCATAAATTGTAAAAAATGAAGCAAAGTCGTCAGGCCGTGTGGCTAATGAATGAACGAGCCAACAAAGTGAAGTGAAGTGTTGCGAATTTGGCCGGTAATCGCCAATCCTCCCAAAATGACCAGTTGGGAGGTCCCCTGGGACATGACCTTCAGGGCGCTTTTCTGTGATTTTTAACACACCCTAAATTTAAACGAAAGATTAGTCTATTAGTTAAACTCTTTAAGTAAGCCAGGTAAACTACTTTTAAAGTAATGTAGAAAACAAAGCCAAAACAAAGCCTGCAGCACTATTAATAAATCATTCAAAAACCTATTAAGACCCAAAAGACCGGCGGAGAAATATTCAAAGAATTTATTGCCATGTTTTTTGTCTCTGGTTCAACAGTGCGTATGCTTGACGTCAAAGAATGTTACCTTATGACGGAATCAGAACCAGGCAACGTGTCACTTTTGAGAGTGTTAGCCGCACTCCACGCCTTCGCATGTGCAGTTCTGCAGCCACTCGAAATGGCCTTGCAGTAGTCATTCCGTTGGAATTAATGACACACCACGAGTAGCACACCGTTACTGCTGAAAAAGACCGCATGGACAAGACAAGGCAGCAATGCAACCCGCAGCGGGATGTGGTGATAGTTCAGCTTAGTTCAGTTCAAAAACTGGTTAGCCACTGGACCACATATTAAACCAGGAAACCGTCAACGATTGTCTACCCCCCTTCGTTGTTTTTGTATGCCTCCTTCAAGTGACGCCCATGACGCAGGGCGATTTCCAGTCTTCAAGTGCGTGCGTTTGTTATTTAGCTTGTCTGCCTTCTTTCCCCTGAATACATCACATTAAAGACTAGTTTCTGTCCGGCTTTTGTCCGTGGGAAGCGGACTGGGGGGCAAATGGGCGTGCACCTGAACTTGCGAGCATGCGTAGACGCACTGGCATGATCAAGGTCGAAAGAGTTCGCAAAAAATATATCGGAAAATTACAATCGAATAAGGAATACTCTTAAAAAAATATGGAATGGAGAGAATATGCTTTACTTATAACTCAAACATTAAACCAGCTATTTAATTTACTTTACTTTACTCACTAAAATTAACAAATAATTTAAAATAGTTTATAATGTAAAATCTAACATAACTTAAATATTTTTTTCAGTCGTCATTATTGAAATTCATAATTTTAAAGTTTCTGCTGTAATTTTGCCACCTATTTTTTATTTTTTCCGCTTTCAAACGCTCCTTTTGACATTGTGACAAAAGTATTCAATTCAATACCTAGAAAGTGCCAAGGGAATCGGAGAATTGGAAAGGACTCGACTTATGGCACGCCAACGCATTTCTGAATGGCAACCATAACAATCTCATGCTTACGAATGTTTTGCCTCCTGAAAATGTAGTAAATGCAGCAGCTGTTTACAATTCAGCCATAACAAAGCAGACAATTTTTCAGGAAATTCTTGAGTCGTGCCAACGCCCAAGCAGCAGCAACAGCAGCAGACCAGTTTCGCAGTTTTGCTCTGCAAAATTATATAAATGCTGAAAATATACAAATAATTCCAAACTTGTAATGTGTGTTTGTGCATTGCTTTTTAAGAGGTGCAGTCTGGACTTGATTCTTCGTTGGCTGCTGCCAGCAAAACGTTTTACATTTTTGACTTGGCTAACTGGCATAGTGGTAAGAAAATATTTTTAAAGCTGAAAATGCGACTTAAAAAATGAAATATACCTTTTTTATAGTTTTAAAACCCTACTCGTAAAAAAAAAAATAAAAAAAAAAATAAATAAAATTTTTTATTTTATTTAAAGATTAATTTCTATTAAAAAACTTGTTGTCATTTTTAGATAACTACTGATCGCATTTTTTTAATGTAACCTGTAAACCTTTAATAAATGATATCCATATCCAAATATATTTAAGCATAATCATCAAGATTTGATGCCTATTCAAAAATAGGTTTCCCATTTTTAAGAAACTGCAGATCACATTTTTTAATTAAATCAAAAAGTCTTTAATAAGTTTAATCTATATTCAATAAAATTACATAATTAAAAGCTCATTAAACCTAACGAACAGATAAGTACCTCGGTGATTTAACCTCTCTGCTTGCCTTTTGGGCGGAGGGTGACTTCCAATTATCCAACAAGCCTTAAACCACTGCCTTCAAGTACTCCGTAGTCCACACACCCAAAAGACAAAGGCAGTGGTTCCAGCACCCAGCACATAGACCGTAGACCATAGACTTATAACCAATAGCTTATGGCCAACTGGTCGGTCGGCCGTTGGTGGCAGTGCATTTGAAAGTGGTTTGGGGCCAGCACATTGCATAAGTGCACCAAATTCCACTCAACGGCAAATCCACTTTGGTTTTATATCTGAATCGGCCACAGTACTCGGTTTTTTTTGTTTTTGCTCGATCATTCTGTGTTGACGTAATGGCCTAACGATTATTGGCCACTTTCTGGGCTCTTTGCCTTTATTTCTTTGGCTTGATTTTGCTACAATTTCAATTGTGGGGCGGCTTAATCGAAGCGGAACCTGGTAGTTGGCCAAATTGAATGCCAAAACAGATATTTGAAATAATTCTGAGCACTGAGAATAATTAGGCAGCAAGAACGTTAAGCAAAAAGAGGTATAAGCAAAAGAGGTATAATTGCTTAATTGCTTTATCAACTTAGTTAAGCTCAAAAAACATAACACTTAAACCGAAATTCGGAAATATTTCTTAAATGTTGTGGATTCATTTAAAATTTATTTTTGAATTGGTTCTAAATTTTTAAATTTTTTTACTTGGTTTATTTTTTTAATTTTAAAACCCTTTGATTTCCAAACACTTTTTCTTTTCTCTGTAAACGCTTCAGGTCTCGAAACTCGATTTATTACACACATACAAGAACATATATATAAACAGTGTACATATTAATAGATATATGTGGGTTGTGCGGAGTGACTGATTTTTTTGGCAGTAACAAGTTGACATTGTCCTCGGACACTTCAGTCGCTGACTCTCTGGCCCAACTCTAAGGTGATTCCCCCCGATCCCCGATCCAAAGTGATCCTTCCTACTTCCGGCCCGTATAATCGATGCTATAGGATCCCGTGTAGAGGTTCAGGTTCCTCAGAGAGGGATGATGTTGCTCGGGCAATCCCCGATAAGGTTGTTGCTGCTGGGGATTGTAGTAGTTGTTCTGCGGCTGAGGAGGCTGATAGTAACGGGGCTGCGGTGCCGGGGGGCTGTAGTACTGGGGTGCGGGACTATAGTAGGGCCTTTGGGGTGCAGGTTGCTGAGGGAGTGGGGCATACGCCTGCTGCTGCTGCTGGCCACGTCCGAAATCGCTCAAACTGAACTTACTGGCCGGCGACAATGGGCGATTGAACTTCTGATCCTTGTAGTAAACCGCTGGATCCTCGCGATACTGACCATCGTCCAGTTCATTGGGTCCCAGCGGATAGGGATTACTATTGGTCAGCGTGGGAGGTGGCACATTGATGTGGCTGCCAGCGGGTTCAAATCCGCGCTTACTGGCTCCATACTCAATCTCCCTCACCTTGCCCTGATCATCCACATAGCCGTACTTTCCATAGACCTCTCCATTGGCATACTTGGTCTCGATCTTGAAGCTCTTGTCCGCCGCCTCGTAGCCATAGGTGTAGGATCCATCGTCGTTGTGCTTGTCGATCTGCTTGAGAATCGGCACCGGAGTGGTGTAGTCCTGATGTTGCGCATACGCACAGTGGGCCGCCAGCAGCAGAAGAGCCACGCTCAATATCTGCAAAAGCGAGAAACAAAGATTTAAAACAAAGACCAAAATCATTTGCATATCATATCTCTTAATCACTATTTCCAGTCGCACCCAGCAATTACAAGTGAACTTTACTTCGGTTTGCGTTAAGTACCTTAATTAGTTGCTCTGATTATCACTGCGCAAACATTCACTCAAGGACATGGCTGAGTAATAAACCAGCAATTAAGTTACTTTTTATCATAGACACTGCTGATCTGATCAAACCGGTTGGCTAAATTGCATTCTAAAAATGCTCACTGCGCATATTCTGAAAACACCTTTTGCATATCGATTTGTGAATATCGAGTATTTTTTGGGAAGTCACAAACACTTTTCAACGACCTTGCTGCATCTTACCATTTTCATGATTCCGCCAAGCTTAGAACCAAACAAAATCAATGTCGAAACGATTTCACCAATCTCTCAATAAGTAAATGCACTGCCAAAATGGAAAATACGCTCTGCACTTGCACTCGAGACTCTGCGAATCGAAACGACAAACTCAAAAGAAAATCAGGGCGTGCAACGCTTTTTATACCACAAGCTACATTTTGCAAAAGCGGGCCAAGAGGGGGATATAAAAATAAAGCGAAAAAACAACAACCAAGGCAGAAACTAAAGCTTTGAGCTGAAGTCGAGCCGAAGTCTCGGGATCAGAAGCCGAACACCTGAACTCCCATTCCGATTCGATACCACATTTACGATCCGAGAACCGATTCGGTTTTCTGCTTGGAATGCAGCATAGAAATCGAAAGCGACCGACCAGCTGGGGCGTGAGTACAGTACATGAACGATATACCCACTCACTCACTCACTCACCTCTACGGGTAATTTCCAATCAGGTTGTTAACGTCGTCTACTCGAATTCTTGGCCAGCAATTTATGCTTCCAGACCGCACCACTCACGCATACGCAATGAGATCAGAGAATCACCAGTGATGAGAACCAGGTAATTTATATAGGTACTATTAAGTTGGGGATATAAAATATAATTTTAAAATATAAATTTTAGAATATCTAAAATAATTAAATAATAAATAATACAAATATTTAATAATTTTAACTAAATTAGTCTGAGTTTTCTAAAAAACTTCACGATAACTTAACTTGAAGTCAAAAATCTATTAATACTTTTCTGATACTCTAGAAAATATTTTTCTGAAGAAAAAGGGTATATCTTTATTTTAAAACTGTAAAAAAATGTTAAAACTTTTTCATATACTTGGTGCAATAAAATGTACCTTTGCCAACACTGAAAACCACAATCCAGAAAAGAACAAAATGCCAATATTGAAAGGTGCGGAAGTGTGTTGCACTTGTTAGGCATTCCAATTATGCAAGACAATTCCCCCTCAGCTGCTAATCGATTGCATTTACCTGGCCAGACACCTTGTTTTCCCAACTAAAATGCAATAACCAATAGCAATCTGCAACCACAACAAGCAATTTGACAGCGGACTTGGCCATTTCTCCTGGCCTGTCAAAATTCACACTTGGGGTTGAGGAAAAGAAAGAAATACAACAAACTTAAATGCTGGTTTACTGACCTAGTCAATGCTTTGGCTAAGAAAACTGGTTGCTGCTATTACGTCAAAGACTTGCCAAAAATAGGCGATGATTTGCTAGTTTTTTATGATTCTTTTATGAGTTAATTTAGTAAGTCTGAAGAAACTAGATATTTAAATTTCTTATACAGATATACAAAATATATAAATCTGCTTTTAATATGTTATTTTTTATTTTAATACAACCAGTAGGGTAAGTTAAGTTCAATATAATTAACACAGTCCCCGAAACAAAATCAAAACAGCTTCAATTGTCCACCTACATTAGATTACTTTATTTATTCGAACACTTTGGGGGATTTTATATTTTATGGCGCATATACAGCTATAATCACATATTTGTACACAGCCAAAAATATTGGTCAATACTATATTTAATTTACATTTTCAAAAATAGTTTATAATTCTTCGCTTGTAATAACAAATAATAACTAGTATTTCTGAAAACGGAAAATGAAGATAATATGTAAATTCAATGTTTCCAAATTTGCTTTCATACATAATTCATTTATTTTCTGTGTATTTCTGTATATCAAGTAAACACAAAACCACGAGTTCGTTAACCCAAGAACCGCAGACCTTGGTCATGGTTGCATGCAGATAAATATATGGACCTTTGTTTGGCTTCTTTTCTTCACTTAAGTTTATGAATCTATGCAGAAGGTACTTTTGCAGAAGTTTTTTCTATGATTTATTTAAATACGTTTTCTGAAAGCTGATCTATAAAGCCTCATAAATCCGTCAGCATTAGGTTTGCAGTCGTCACAGTGAGCTGACAATTTTTAATGGTCTTGTAGAACCAGTTCAAGTCCAGCGAAAGTGAGATAATCGCTGGCTAGAATATATAGATAAGTATCTAGATATACGTATATATAAAGGCTGTTATATGGAACCTCTGCTTCTTACAACTGGAAATGGAGTCGGCGCCGAGGCAAAGGCTAAGTAATATATGTCAAGTTTAATGCATTTTCGGGTTAGGGTATCGTATCAGATGACTCGAATGATTCAGGCACCCTGTACGACCACAACAAGTCTAAGGCGGACAAACTCGTTTACTTACTAATTGTACCGAAAAAACAGAGCAGGAATAAATAAACTAAATATATAAAACAGCAAAACAAAGAAATGATTTAGAAAAGTTGTACATTTAAGCAGTTCGTTTCGAATAAAATTACCGGAGACCGGGCAGAATCGTCATTTAAATCAGTGCACTCAAAGCAAACAGTTCTAGTCATCAAATATATATTTCGGAATAAAATCAACACGATGCTCATAAAAGTAGCCAAGTTCCTGAGCCTTTTTTCGGTGTTTCTGGCAGCAGCCAAAGCTAAATATTTGTCTGAGAAACGTAAGAAAAATTAAGATTTTAAAAGGAACGGCCTAAATAGAAGCTAAATTGGTTTTAGAATACCATTATGTGCTAATTAATTTGAAGAAGAATTATTATAAGATAAATTTTAAATAGTGTGGAATGTAAAAATCCTAAAATATTATTCTTTACATTTTTTCCTTGTAGCCGACTTCCTGCATCCTTGCACTGTAAGCGATGCCGGCTTCAATGGCTGTCTAACCAGCAATTTCCAAACTTTCTTCCGTCAGTGGAAGGATGGGATTCCTGGCAACAATGCCGTGGGATCCTTCGATCCCCTCTACATAAAGAGAGTTAAATTTGCGCAGGATGCCAACAGGGCTATTGCCATTAATGCCGATCTGAAGGAGGTCTATGTGGCAGGTGCTGGACAAGCGGTGGTTAAGGAAGCCAGGTAAGGGTTAAATCAAATATTTTATAACACCCGTAGTTATTTATCCATATAAACTCCTCAGCTGGGACCCCAATCACTATGTGGCCAAGGCTTTGATAAGCGTTCCCAAGTTGCGTTTTAATTTCGAGTACAAAGTCAAAGGACATGTGGTGGCCCTTAATCTTAATGGTCATGGCAACGGCTATTTTGAAGCGGGTAAGAAATTATTTTAAAAATTTATAAAAATGGTCTAAAAAGCAATTAAATTCAGAAAATGCTCTGATATATCTGGAAATGGCCGTCAAACCGGTGACCACCGCGGATGGCGTTTTCGCTGATGTGCAAAATGTTAAGGTCAATTTCCGCGAGATAAAGCAATTCCGCATCAAGCTAGAGAATCTCTTCGGCGGTAACAAGGATCTGGAGGACACCGCCAACACTCTTTTCAACGAGAACTGGCGCGATTTCTACGATGTCCTGCGTCCCGCCGTGGAGCAAACTGTGAGTGGAGTACTCCTGGATCGATTCAAGAAGACGTTTGCCTATGTGCCAGCCACCTACTTGATTAAAGACTTCCATTAAAACATACACAGGCGGAAACTTACCTGTACTTACAATTGTATTTTAAATATGTTCTTGTGATCAATTTTCATGTCGATATTAAATAAGATGTGAACAAACTAATAAAAACATTAGGTAAACACCAATCATAATTATTATAAAGGACATATTCTTAAATTTTAAGATCTAAACATTATTTGTTTATGATTTTAGGATATTTTGGTGTGTATCATTTTATCATCATTGTGTATCATTACTTATATCCCAATCAATTACTTAGATATCATGGTTATTTTAATGGTTTTGTTATTGTTAGTGGTATTTTGAAATAAATTATTAAATCTACCTCCAAGTAAAAAAGTTAGATTATCTATAAATGATGATATTATTTTCAGCTCACCGATTCGGTATTGAAATTATTTTATTAAAATCTTCTCCCCAGTAAAACCTATTTGATGTTTAACTCTTATTTAATTTGTCCATCTGTATCTACATTTTTAAAAAAGAATCATTTGTATTTGTCAGGAAATAAGTGAAATAAAATATAATTAAATTAAGCAAAATAAGTCGCACTTGGCCCCGGCATCGTTAAGCTGCTGTAAGTCGTTACCATATTTGAGAGCTCGGATCTCGGATTTTGAATCTTGAATCTCGGATCTTGGCAGTTGAGAATAAAACGCCGGCCCACAGCCAGCCGCCGGCTAGTCGGTTCCACAGCGTGACACCGTTTGATGTGGCTGAGCAGCGCCTGTCACAGTCGCAGATTCATTTACTAGTTTACTTAGACACTTAACCACTTAATTATTAGGCACTTGCTAGTACGGCAGCATGAACAGCACGCGCCATGGCCGCAGATCGTTTGTCACTTGGGGTGGACTAATGGCAATCTTGTACCTAAACCAGATTGCCTTGGTCTCATCCGTTGCCTACTACACCGAGAAACGTAAGTTTTTATATTTCTTAATATCCAAGATCCTTTCTAAGTGAACCCAAAATAAATCCCCAGCTGCCTTTTTGCCATCTTGTCGGATTTACGAACCCGGGTTCACCAAGTGCTCGACGAACAGCATCCAGAAGCTTCTCGATCAGCTGAACATTGGAATACCCGAGGTGCAGGAGCGCTTTGGACCCTTTGATCCCATGAGAGTGAGGGATATAGTCTTCAAGCAGGATAACAATGAAGTGGCCACCATCAGAGCCAATCTGACTGAGCTGGTGGTCAAGGGCTTCGCCAATACAAAGGTCAAGGAGAGCCGGTTAGTAAAAAATATTTATTAAAATCATATAGGGAAAAGCTGTTATGTTACAATTTAGGTTCAATAGTAATAAAGTGTTTGTTTATGTGTTATTACCCAGTAAGCTACTGTTGAAAAATATTTTATAATTTAAATGTTCATTAGACTTTTAATTATTTTGAACTATAATCTCTGGTGTGTTATTTTTTAACGATCACAAAACAAATTCTTTATATAATTTTTTAATATCCTAATAATTTCCGTGCACTTTTCCCGCAGAGTCAGCAAGAAAGACTTTGGCTGGCAGACCAAAATATTTCTGCCGAAAATGAGACTGGATGGCAAATATGAAATGTCTGGAAGAATACTACTTATACCGCTTAGTGGATCTGGCAAAATATTCATTGAAATCGGTAATTAAAGTTTAAAATTAAAATAATGTTCTTTCTGCTGATTACTAATGAATTGCCTACACGTACTCATTTCCACAGATGATCTTGACATTTTGCTGCTAACCAAAACCCGTCTGTATGAAAAGGGCGGCTTCACCTTCGACAATGTGACCGCTGTGCGTGTGCAACTCAATTTGACTAAGGTGCGAACTTACCTGGATAATTTATTCAACGGCCGCAGCAAGGAGGTCGAGCGCAGTACCAATGAATTTTTCAACGAGAATTGGCGCGATTTCTACGAAGCCCTAAAACCACTGATCGTTGAGACGGTCGAGAATATTCTCTATGACGTTATGTCAACAGTTTTCCACCTTATCCCTGCCAACTTTTTTGTTGAAGATATACCAACACCTCAACAACTATATGGTCCCAAAGAAGCCGTTCGTAAAGAGAATAGTTGAATAGTTGAATAGTGATAGAAATTGAAGTTGAGCCACAGAAGCCATTAAAATTCCATTGCGACTGTGAAATAAATTTCAGAAAATGTTACGATTTATACATACATTTATTTTATTTCTGAATGAGTGAATTTAATGAAATAATGAGTAGGTATATTGCAGTTGAAAATCACGCTCGAATTATATCCGCTCTTTGGGGCAAGAAGTAGACGCCAAGTTGTTGTTCTGTAAATACAAAAAATTTAAATATTGTGAAACAACTTATTTTATAAATTATAGTTTACCATTCTTGCCCACGTAATAGGATCGTTTCTTGAAGATATACATCATAAGCATGGCAATCGTCACGGCCAAAATGAGAGCTACCAAAGCAATGGTAATAAATACCCACTTAAAGTGCTTAACTTTGTCACCTTTGGGGCTGGATGAACCCCATTCCTCAAAAGAATTCACAGACTGACAACGATAGCCATCTTCTGGACTCGCGTCATCGAAACAGGCACATGTCCCTGGTGCTTCACAGTGTCCGTTAATACACTCGGGGTCGCAAATGGGGATGCAGAAAAGACTTATATTGTCGTCCTTATCGCGGTGTAGCTTGTATTTATCCTCACACGAGCAAACTCCTTCACGACAGGTTCCATTCCGGCAGGTCTGATAGCAATCTTCGTCTAAAAGCAATTCCTGTTCAGGCAGACAAGTGTTTGATATTTCAGAAAGGATAAAGCCCTCGTTGCACTTGCAAACTCCTGGAGAAATGCAAAATCCATTCGCACATTCATCTATGCAAACTGGGTCACACCTGTTCTCACTATTCATTTCGTATCCATCATTGCAGGAACACTTTTCAGGCGCAGCACAGATTCCGTTCTCACATTCCTTCGAGCAAACTGGTGCACAACTCTTATCTGTTTCCTTGCTGTATCCTTCATTGCAGGAACACTTTTCCGGCGCAGCACAAAATCCGTTCTTACATTCACCTGCACAAACTGGAACACATCTGTTCTTACTGTCCATTATGTATCCTTCATTGCAGGAACACTTTTCAGGTGAAGAACAAAATCCGTTCTCACATTCCTTCGAGCAAACTGGTGCACAACTGTTCTCCGTTTCCTTGCTGTATCCTTCATTGCAGGAACACTTTTCCGGCGCAGCACAAAATCCGTTCTTACATTCACCTGTACAAACTGGAACACATCTGTTCTTACTGTCCATTATGTATCCTTCATTGCAGGAACACTTTTCAGGTGAAGAACAAAATCCGTTCTCACATTCCTTCGAGCAAACTGGTGCACAACTGTTCTCCGTTTCCTTGCTGTATCCTTCATTGCAGGAACACTTTTCCGGCGAAGCACAAAATCCGTTCTTACATTCACCTGTACAAACTGGAACACATCTGTTCTCACTGTCCATTATGTATCCTTCATTGCAGGAACACTTTTCAGGTGAAGAACAAAATCCGTTCTCACATTCCTTCGAGCAAACTGGTGCACAACTGTTCTCCGTTTCCTTGCTGTATCCTTCATTGCAGGAACACTTTCCTGGCGAAGCACAAAATCCGTTCTTACATTCACCTGTACAAACTGGAACACATCTGTTCTCACTATCCATTATGTATCCTTCATTGCAGGAACACTTTTCAGGTGAAGAACAAAATCCGTTCTCACATTCCTTTGAGCAAACTGGTGCACAACTGTTCTCCGTTTCCTTGCTGTATCCTTTATTGCAGGAACACTTTCCCGGCGAAGCACAAAATCCGTTCTTACATTCACCTGTACAAACTGGAACACATCTGTTCTCACTATCCATTATGTATCCTTCATTGCAGGAACACTTTTCAGGTGAAGAACAAAATCCGTTCTCACATTCCTTCGAGCAAACTGGCGAACAACTGTTCTCCGTTTCCTTGCTGTATCCTTCATTGCAGGAACACTTTCCCGGCGAAGCACAAAATCCGTTTTTACATTCACCTGTACAAACTGGAACACATCTATTCTCACTATCCATTATGTATCCTTCATTGCAGGAACACTTTTCAGGTGAAGAACAAAATCCGTTCTCACATTCCTTCGAGCAAACTGGCGAACAACTGTTCTCCGTTTCCTTGCTGTATCCTTCATTGCAGGAACACTTTCCCGGCGAAGCACAAAATCCGTTCTTACATTCACCTGTACAAACTGGAACACATCTGTTCTCACTATCCATTATGTATCCTTCATTGCAGGAACACTTTTCAGGTGAAGAACAAAATCCGTTCTCACATTCCTTTGTGCAAAATGGTGCACAACTGTTCTCCGTTTCCTTGCTGTATCCTTCATTGCAGGAACACTTTTCCGGCGAAGCACAAAATCCGTTCTTACATTCACCTGTACAAACTGGAACACATCTGTTCTCACTATCCATTATGTATCCTTCATTGCAGGAACACTTTTCAGGTGAAGAACAAAATCCGTTCTCACATTCCTTTGAGCAAACTGGTGCACAACTGCTATTTGTTTCCTTGCTGTATCCTTCATTGCAGGAACACTTTCCCGGGGAAGCACAAAATCCGTTTAAACATCCACCCTTGCAATCTGGGACACACTTGTTCCCTAACTTAACGTATCCCTCGTGGCAGGAACACTCGCCGGGTGCCACACAGGATCCGTTCTCACAACTATCCTCGCAAACTGGACTGCAGACACCGTCAACTTTGCTGTATCCTGCGTTGCAGGTGCACACATTGGGCGCCACGCAGACTCCGTTTTGGCAAGCCTTACAATTGGCCACGCAGACATTCTCCCCGATTTTCGTATAGTCCTTCCAACATTCACAGACATCCGGTGCCGTGCAATCTCCGTGCACACATTCTTGCTCGCAGATGGGAGCACAGTTCTTATCGGCGTCCTTGCGATAGAACCTATTGCACTCACAGACGTCGGGAGCTCGGCAAACTCCGTTTTTGCATTCATTTTTGCAGACTGGTTGACACGCGAACGACTTTGAGTTCGGCTTGGGAATGTAGCCCGGGTTGCACTGGCAACGATTGGGAGCCGCGCAGAAGCCATTGTTTACTTTGCAGTTATCATTACAGGTGGGCAGGCACTCCTGGGTGGTTGCATTCAGCGTGTATCCCTGGTTGCACCTGCACTTGTTGGGCGAAATGCAGCTGCCATTGCGACAGCCACTGGAACATTGAGGCACACAGTTGCCGGTCTTACTGTCTAGTTTGTGTCCGGTTGTGCAAAGACAATGTCCAGGCGATTGGCAGACTCCTTTTTCGCATCCTTTGCAGAAAGGTACACAACTATAAGAATTAAAAAGAGTTTTATAAAAGAAAAGTAACAAATATTATTTAATGCAAAAAAAATTATTTTTATGGAAACCTTTTAATTTTCAGTTTTTAATTGTTTAATTTTGGGAACCGTTTTGAATTGTGAAATAAAATAATCGCACCACAGTTTATGAATGAGATTTCTTTTCCGTTTCGTCCCAATCGTCATCACTAATTTCTTATCAACTTACAAATGAATTCAATAAATTGCAGTAATTCATTAAGCTTATAATAACACATTTTAATCTTATTTTTTCGTTTGTATTTTTGCTTTGTTATTTCTCACATCCGCTTCAAATCGCTTTAAGTAGAATCAAATAATATTACAAATTTATAAGGTCTTGCTATCTACATTATTAAATTTAAATATATTTCTTTTTCACTTTGCAGTTTTTTGTCACATAAAGTATTTTTTGTGTTAGATCACTGGACTTACAAGTTAGATCGTTCTTTGTTGAGGTTGACATATCCTTTCCGGCAGGTACACACATTTGGTTGCGTGCATGTTCCACTTCTGCAGTTTCCCCTGCATATTGGAGTGCACTTCAGTTGTTTGCCCGGTGCTCTTTTGTAGCCAGTGCAGCAATCCTTCACTGTTACTTGCTAATGACACAAAAACACAAATTTCACAATTTATTTATAATTCGGATAATCCGATAATCCGCATACCTTGCCATTTCTATTACGGACGACATTACAGATCTGGGCCACTACGAGTCCGCAGAGCAAATAAAAAATTACTATTTTAAATATCCACATGGTTGCTTCAAGTATTCAACTTATTCCGATCCATTTCAAATTAAAACTAAAGCGGCTTCTGCAAAATTATTTGCGCAAATGCTCCCATGCTCCTTTACATTCACAAGTACATATTTACGTAGTACAGTAGAACTTCAACAGCTAGAACCACCATCTGCCACCAAATCATTTCTACTTTTACATAAACATTATTTATTTATTATAATTAAACTCTTTGATTGAACATTTATTTAAAATATAAAATGGTTTTAATATTAAAGCATAAAATGTTTTATAGAAAAGTTCACGATATAGGGGTAAACCAGTTTAGTTTGATAATTCCGACGAACTTAAATAAGTAAAACAAAGATTTGAACCAAGAATGCTACTGAGCCGTGCAATACACTTACTTGCTTATCACAAGTCAAGACTTAAAAGAAGAAAGAAAGAGAGGCTCTCCACTGAAAAACAAATTCATGATTTTACATTTTTTTTAATTTAAATTAATAAAATTAAGAATGGATAATTAAAGTACTTTTTTTAAATACATACCAGTATAATAAAACTAAAACTACAAAATACATTTAAACAACATTTTTTCTGAGCTTAACATTTTTGTTCAGTACATTCTCTCTATTTTAATATGTTAGGCTATGTATTTGAGCAAAATAAACAAAAATTAGAGCGTAAAAAATGTATATCATGAAAGGAAGCTAGCTTACACCAGCTGATGTTTATATGCCCTTTGTTAAGTTATAACAGAAAATGCCTAGTTCTGTGCGTTACGAACATATGAACAAAACTGAAATACCATGAGCAGGGGAATACATCGTTGTTTTTTGCAATTTAATTAAAAAATTGCCTCATGATTTAAAGCAAAATAAACAAATTTTAGTGCATTTATAAGTAGTTTATAAAAAATCTAAATAATTGAAACGTAAAGCAGTGGAAAAAGTTTCCATATCAACTATTTAACACATGCTTAGAAAAATATGAGCCAACTATAAAATGCATTGCATATCTTTTCATACTTATACGGCCATGACATCGTTAAGTAATTGTGGAGAGCTATTATAATAGGTTGATATATTTATTGTATGCCCCTATTTTATTATTATTTTTATCCTTTCACACATTCTCGATGAGGTTAATGTGTTTTAGGTGCACATGCACCGGATGTCAGTTATACTTTTGTAGATAGAATTCTAGATACAGATTTTGGGACATCTTGAATCCTAAGCTCCCGCTTTAAAACTTATCGGACTAAATTGAAGTCCCAAGTCAGCCGCAAAGTGATATTGACTCCCAAAAATATTCCCTTTGGTGATAAAAGTTGCACCATAAAACAATTCAAGGTTATGACATTGTTGAGGCGATTACTGAAGTCCACACATACACATATTCACTAAACCAGTCTAAAGTTCAAATAATTTTTGTAGTTATTCGATAAATAAAACATTGTAAACATTTTGAAAAATATTGCCGGCGCCTCATGTAATATTTTTATTATGGCAGCAAAGTTTATTATCACTTTGAGCCATTAAGTTTGTCTAGATCAGAGTAGAATGCTACTATAGTAGTTTTACAAACATTTATTGTTGCTTACCGGTTCGGTGGCAAGGTAATATCTGTAGCAAGAACAATAACAACAGCTAGACAACAAGAAACGTCGTAAAAAGATAAGTACCTTATTTTAAACTTAGAGTCTTATATTTTTGTATGCTTAATAATATGTTAAAAATTATATTTATTGTACATCCACTGCTTATTTATTAATTATTGGTAATTATATATAATTGGCAAAAAAAAACTAGACCAATCCATTATATATGTATCTTTTATTGCAGTAATAATTGGTATTTTAGAAAGACACAGCGGTCTGGCGATTGGAAGATTCCATGCCTGCCGTCCAATTTCTACGTCTGGTTATCTCAAGCTTAAAGAATATTTAAAAAAAAATTCCCTTAAAAATTGGTTTGTTCAAGCGATAAACACTCAAGCGATTAAGGGATGTATCATCATTGTAAAAATTATGAGATAATTCTATTATTACTCTCTTATTAATGTAAACCAGTCCAAAGTTCTATATTCTATATTATATTAATTATTTGGTAAACAAAACAATGCGATGATTTTGAAAGATGCTAACGTAGCTCCATCAAATGTTTTTATTACGGCAGCAAAAGGTTTTTATTACACCTCATTTCAAGCAATTAAGTTTGCCCAGATTTGTACAAGTATTTGTACAAACATTGATTGTTGCTGCTGTAGTTGTCAGCGTATTTTCCAGCTAGATATTAAATTAACTTACCGGTTCGGTGGCAAGGTAAAGTCGCTACAGTTTCAGAGTCGCATAACAACAGCAATAACACTGCGAGAAAAGTTTCGAAAATAAAATGCAATAAAATTTAAAACAAATCAAATATGCTTTATAGGTATTCTTTTTTTTAAACCTAGTTTTTTTAATGTTGATTAAGGAAAATATATATTTTTAAATTAAAATATAGTTGACTGGATTCCAACTGCCTCAATATCATTTTTCGTTCCGTGTTTTTCTCGTACTCTCGTGCAATAAATATGGAATAAATTAAATTTCGCATTGCGAGTAAATGAAAATGGCTCGATTCTGGTATTACCCAGACACTCCAGATTCAATTCATCAATTGCACCCGAGTCATCGGCATCGGCTATATATATTGTCCAGATAAAAGCTAGCACCGCTTCGAGTTCTATCTCATTCGTAACTCGCGCGTATCAAACTCAATTAGGAGGCTCTCCTGATTGCGACTGTGATTCCGGCTGTGTGACAGTGACTTGTAGGTGACAGTGACGACTGCTTTCCACCATGTTTATAATTAGCTTACTGATGCTGATGCTCCATGCCGGCCTCCAAGAAGTCCAGTGCGCAGTATTCTACACGGAAAAGCGTGAGTCCAACCGGGGACATTTATGTAGTGCATAAAAACATCAAAATAAATATGCTTTAGATATAAATTCAATACAATTTATCCAAGAAACAAATAAATGCAAACGATTTAAAGAATAAATAAATCAAAAACAGGAAAAGGGTTAAAGCTCGCAATTAATCTAAACATCCGGGGAAGTTTCCTATCCTATATCGTTATGACTCAAAGTTAATGCAATAATAATTTCTTTGCAGCCTCCTATATTGAATCATGCAAGATTTATGAACCGGAATTCACCAAATGCTCAACGCGCTCCATACAGGCTTTCATGAACCAGCTGGTCAAAGGTGATATAATAAATAAAACATAAACTTAAATATTTAAAACGAAAATTTTATTTAGGCATTCCCGAGATTGAGGACACCTTTGGACCCATTGACCCCATGCGACAGGATCAGCTGGTTTTCAAGCAGGACAACAGCGATGTGGCCACCATTTCGGCCAATCTCACGGATATGCTGATCAGTGGCTTTGGCAAAATGGTGATCAAGGAAAGCAAGTAAGTATAGTTTACTAACGATAGAGCACAGCTGTCAAGAGCGATCAAAAGTTGCTTGATTGAGGTCGTTGAGCTCCTATAGGCGAACATCTTTTCTGGGAAATTCCCATTTAATAATGCACTAAAGCTACTATACTTGTAGCAATTAAAAACTTTATAAAGTGATTAAATGTTGGTACTTAAAATTAGTTCTCATTAATTAATCAATTAGTTACACTTAAGTTGTAGTGGCGATCTAAAATAATATATTGTACTTCGCAGCTCTAGGGTTTTGCAATTTATAATTCCATTAATCATTTCAATTAAATTATAACTGGTAAACAATATTTAATTCAGTAATAACAACCATTTAATAAATTAAAATTACTATTATTAATAATTTATTAATACTTTTCCAGAGTCAGCAAAAAGGACTTCAGTTGGCTAACAAAGATCTATCTGCCCAAAATGCGAATGGATGGTCACTATAAAATGTTAGGTCGCATTTTACTGGTGCCCCTGAAGGGAGCTGGAAAAATCGTCATGGAAATAGGTAATTACCAATGATTACTGTTGCTATACGTCTTTAAATAATACTCGGATCTATTTCGCTTGAAAGATGACCTGGACATACTGATGAGCACCAAGACACGCCTCTACGAAAAGGGCGGCTACACATTTTACAATGTGACTTCCGTGAAGGTAAAGTTGGAGGTTGGCAAAGTGCGAACCAGAATGGATAACCTTTTTAATGGGCAAAAAGAGGTGGAACAGAGCACCAATCAGTTCTTTAACGACAATTGGAAGGATGTTTTTGAGGCTCTGCGTCCCCTGGTGGATGAAACGGTGGAGCGGACTCTACTGGCTCTTCTCCACAAGACATTTGCTCTATTTCCAGCGAGCTTTTTTGTAGAGGATATTCCCACCTCCTTGGCCTTGTATGGTCGCAAATCACACATGATAACGTAGGAAGCGTTTCAGCGAAGCGAATTCAGTAACTAAAAAAATATTGTTTCGTAAAAAAATTGAAAGCCATGATTTGTTTCCTTTAGAATCTTATAAAGTTAATAAGAAATATACGAGTTTCTTATTTAAACAAAATCAATTTTTTATCTACTTTTATTAAATATTTTATTTTAATTTTAATTTAGTAATTTTGTAAAGAATTAAATTTTCCTGATTTCATAATCTGTTTAATGGTTAGACTAAATGTTAGTGTAACTTATTAAATGCTTAGTTTAGAGGTATCCTAATATGGGATGGCACAGTGCTCCACATCCGGCTGCCAGTTCGAGTCGATAGATATACATATATCAGTAGAACCAGTCGTACTTGAGATAGTCGCCCTCGTGCTTCAATGCCGCAATCGAGGTATGACGCACATGTCCTGTGCGAGCGAAGATCCTGCGGTTGCCCACAGGCTGCAGGGTCCTAAAATTGTCCACCAAGGCGCCATCCTGGGTGTCCGACAGCTGGCGGAAACGGGAGATCTGCTTGGGCGAAATCGGGATGGGATCGGGGAACAGGATCCAGGTAACAGCCTCCGAACAGGGCGGCGTGGTCAGGGAACCTGCAAGGTAAACATATATCATTAATTTGAGTGACATCACAGATAAACATTGCTTGTAGACATCGATTCGATGTCACCTAATCAACGGGTATTTATTGACTTTACTCGCGAAACGCTCACTGAATAATAATTGAAAGAGGGAGTGTCCCTTGGCTGTATCACTCAATTAAAGGTAAAATAATATGATAAATAATAATGAAATAAAAGCTAATGAATCAAAATTTTAGATAAATATTTTTTAAATCCTAAAAAGGATTACTAAAAGATTACCCACCCTTGTAGGTGTAAAACTTGTCCACATCCACGCCAGCAATCAGCGAGGAAAGCGAGAAGGTGACATTCAACGAGGCCTCCTGGTTGGCATCGGCAATCAGATGCAAATGGCGGTTAATCGTGACCAGACCAGGACCCTCATCCTCGTCGAGCTGTGGGTACGACACAAATGGGTTTACAAATCATTCGGAATGAGCACAATTCCCCAAACCACTCACATTGAAGAAGAATCCCAGGACGGCGGCACCATCCGGATGATTTAGGGCCTCCCCGATGGTGGCATACTTCTTGTTGCGGTGCACAATGTGCATCTCCATGGTGTAGCGGATGTCGTTAATGACGTGCTCGGATCCCCGGTTGTTCTTGTCGCCCCAGTGGAAGTGCAGGCCCTCCAACTCGAATTCACCTGGCAACTTGGCGCCACGGATGTAGGGCAGAAAATCCTCACCCACCTCAGTCACATTAACCTTGGGTATGCTGATGGAAACTGCAAGGCAGATGATCAATTAGCACTAATACTACACTGAGAAAAATAATTTTATTTATTTTCCAGATTTTAGAACTTAATTTAATTTTTAGAAATATTGTTATAATTTTACTATCTATAACACTATGCAGCATCAAAAATTAACCTCGATAAATGCTATATTTTTGGATTCGTTACGAATTCCCAAGTTAAACTGCGTTTTCCAAAGAGTTCCCCGACGCAAGGATTCTTAGCAAAAGGACCTCAAAGTTCGAAAAATGCTGAAATTGGCCAACTTTGCGGAGCTCTCAGAGGCAAATGGATGCATGGCTTGGTTTGAAGTTAAAGTTTTTAAAAAGATACACCCTTTATCTTTCAAACCCCATACATAAAATAATTTTAGGATTTTTTTTAAGGCAGAAATAAATTTCAAAAAACATAGTCAAAAAACTGAAAAACATACAGCTGCGGTCAAAATAGTAGTAGTGTTGCCGCCTTGTGTATTTTAAAAGTTTGATGTTGTAATTTTTTCTTATCCAATTAGTCTAATAGGAAAATTATAATCAATACAATATTACCAGGAAAAGATCAATTACAACAACAAACTTTTAAATACACAGGGCGGCAACACTACTACCATTTTGACCGCAGCTGTATACTTTTATGTTTTTTGACTATGTTTTCTAAAACTTGTTTCTGCCTTAAAAAAAATCTTAAAAATTTTGTAAGTATGGGGTTTAAAAGATAAAGGGTGTATCTTTTAAAAAACTTTAGCATCTAACCAAACCATGAATCCGTTTGCCTCTGAGAGCTTTAGAAAGTTGGCCAATTTCTGAATTTTTCGAACTTTGAGGTCCTTTTGCTAAGAATTCTTGCGTCGGGGAACTTTTTGGAAAACGCAGTTTAACTTGGGAATTCGTAACGAATCCAAAAATATAGCATCCATCGAGGTAAATTTAAAAAGCACTAAAAATGCTGCACAGTGTAATTAATTTGGAAACATAACTTCAAAGCATTATGTTAATATACATTTGAAGACTATTTAATGCCTTTTTTATTCAATTAACGATACCAAGATTAATTCAAATTTTAGGGCTAGTACTCAACCCAACAAAAAGTCGTCCAAAACTAAACTTCATATGAAACAAAATTTTTTGACGTTGTTTTTCATACGTTTTTTGTTCTGGACGACTTTTTGTTGGGTTGAGTACTAAGCCTAACTTGTATAAAAACATGTTTTTCATATAAAAATTACTTAGTAAAAGGAACAAATTTTTCGGTGTAATAAGTATCTCCTTAAACTCTTACCCGTATGTCCATTGTTGAGCATTTTTAGGGGATAGGGTAGTAGATTGTGATAGCCAATCATGTCCACCGCCGGCATGTGAACGGCCATTGTCTGAAAGGGAGCAAATTGTCCAAGTTAGTGAGCCCGCTTAACTGGGCTTCAAGTTCGGGAACTTACCCGGCTGGTGGTGATGGCAATGGGCGATTGGGTCTTCCCCGCACAATGACCATGGTGACGGGCCCAGCGACGCTGGTTGGGCTCAGAGTAGCCGAAGACATGACTGCTGACAGCTGGAAGAGGATGGAATATTCAATTTTAAGATTTTTATTTAAAATAATGTTTAGTTATATTATGGGGAAAATCTTATTTAAATAAAGTTAAGTTCAAAAACTAAGTGGATAATAAATAATAATACTTAAAAATAAATTTAAATAATTAAAAATAATATTCCAAAAATATTTCTTCAACTCCATTTTATTATTTTGCCAGACCTAAAAGCATTTGTGTTTGCCAAATTAGTTTATCCCATTAAAAAAAAAAACCATCTGGCTTTATGTCTGCTGCCTTTTCACAATAAACCCGCAATCAATTAGCCGCTGGAATGCGCGCTTAGTCCTGAATCAGACAAAATGATTAAAGTGTTTCCCCATTTGCAGACAACCCGTCACCCGCAATCTGGCGATCTTGAATCCACGATTGATGAGTGATCACGTGCCCGTGCTATTCACCCCCTTTGGCTGACCTTCTCTCCCGATTTTCCCGGGGCTATCTCTGACATATACGAGCACTTGTGAATTACGGCATAATAAATGGGGTACTGCGAGCACAAATATTTAAGGTGTCTTTCTTTTTTTAGTCAATGGCTGTGGGCTGGGCAAATAAATAACTTAATGGGTAAACAGGCTTCCAGGGAAAGCTCGTCGTGGAGTGCGAACGTCAAGGGCACGTTCGGGCCAATAATTAGATATCGTCGCGATTGATATTGATAGAGATCCCGAGATAATGGCGCGAGCAAACAGTTTTCATTAATTTCCACAGCGATTGAAAGCTGGCAGCAAATTCCATGGAATCTTTTCGCAAGGCGAAAGGAAATACTTATTTAAAGGCTAATTTGCATGTGATTGGTGATAATTTCAGTTTGAAGAGCTCGCTGCGAATTAACATATCATATGACATGGTTTTCCATTGTGTTTCTGGCGATATATATACAAATAGTCTGCACGTCTATCGATAAAGTCGATTGATGAATTAGTCTAATTAAGTGTTTATTTGTGGTAATATATATATTATTATATTATTTATTTCGAGTACGGGCTATCAAAGTCTTAGATAATAATTTATTTAAAATTAGTATTGTGTCAGGTATGGCCATTTAGTATTATGTCATCCACTTTGTATATTATAATCATATTACTTTGCCATATTATTTGCATTGCTTTGTTGTAATCGAGCCTGTCATTTAAATTCACTTGAGCCCGGGGTAATTAAGAAAGTAAATAAATATGTCACAAGTCTTAAAGTAAAGATTACAGATGTTCATTTAGCATGTAAATAGTATTTATAGAGCTTCCCGAAAGATAACAGATTACATTTCGTGTACGGTAGCAAGTGCTAATACCTAAAATAGGAAACCCTAACAACTTGCCGTCAAGTCCAGCAATACATCTAAATCAATCGGTGGCCAATAAAATGTATTAATTGACAGTTTCAAGTGGAATAAACACCATTAAACTGGTCAAAATTAGTTTCGTGAAGTGTGTACTTATGACTGCTAATGCCAAGATCCCAGCAATATCAGGTATTGACATTTCGTAAGAGATACGAACAGTCAGTCACACGCGCCCAAAGGAAGTGAGGGCACAAAGAAAAAGAATATAAATATATTGGACACGTTCTAATGACTTTTTTATTCCACTGTATCAATCATCTTTTTCTTAGTTTTAAGTTATTAGGAATTTTATTCTTTGATATAAAAAATTAAGATATAAGTTAAAAAGTTGATTTTAAAATTTTAAACTACTAAATATTATGTAATAAAAAAAGGAACAAAAAATATTAGATAAAAAAATTCAAATGTTGCAGTTTTTATTAAGACTAACATTTTTCTCAGTGCACGGATTTCAAGAATACCAGGAGGTATGACTAGCTATCCATTCTTAGTCAAAAGCATTTACCCCGAATAGATATCGATTTATGGCTATTTTTGTTTTGATTCACAATATCTTTCGGCACAATTTAGACCCTGACAAACACAAATGAGTCACAGGACTTCGCAGAAATGGCTGTGCAATTTACCTTGCGTCCAGCAGATTACCAAAAACGAAGCCTCGAAGATAACGGCCAACTTCATGGTGGTTTTTTCAAAGCGTTCGTTTCTAAGTTCCAAAGTTCTTGACTCCTGACGAGCGGCTATAGCACCTTCCGATCGGGTGACGGATTCTAGACTGCGCGGACGTTTCGCTGGCGGAGCACCTTCACAACTTCCTCAGCGGGCAGTCAACGAACTAC